TGAGTTTGTTGGGTATACGAAAAAAATATAAACTGCTTTGGAAATGTATGTTTCCCTTAAAAGAATTAAACACACATATATAATGAAGGGAACAACCAAAACAATTATTTTGAACCAGGCACTGGGAGAGATTTTATCCCCAGTTTATTTAGTCATTGATAATTATTTAACAATTATTTAAGTTCTTCTGGTGCTGTCGATTACTTTGAACCACTGGCTTGAAGGATCACAATTTTTATCATTGCCCAGGCACTTGCATGAGTTTGTAACAATTGTGCTTGTAGAAGAGTCTACATCCAGGCAAACCGGTGTTCCATCGCTGAGCTTAGCCGAAAGGTGCATCTTTGAATCTGATATCATGTCCCATTTTGCACATTCCTTACGGCCGATCGCCCCAAATTTTATTCTTTTCCCGAAATCATCAACTACTAGGCAGTGTCTCCTCAGGATCAATGTTTTATCATTGAGGGCTACACAGGGTAAAGCTTGTGAACATGGACCCAATTGCAATGGCTGTGATCTATGGACACAAAGCCCCGTTGCTGGATGAAAGAGCACCTTATGCTGTTTAGGATATTCATCTTCACCCGGCCCTGTATTTCAAGCAAGACAAATCAGAATTCCTGTTAAGCATTTAATGAACTCTTGAATCATGAATCGGGTTTTATCAGTTCTTACCTTGGAAAGCGTATTGCAGGGATGATATTTTTTGGAGGAAGCCTGGATTCCTAGGTTCGCGCCAATCTCCGTCCAATATCCCATAAAACTCTTCAGATCTTGTGTAATAATCTCCAACCAATGTCCAATAAGCAAAATCTAGATCAAGCTCAGCTGCTAGCCCCACTAGGCAATTCAAGTACCTATCGTCATTGGTATTATTACCTCTCATATCCACCCCAAACTCGCTCATAAACAACGGATAACCCTTTTCCAACAAAAAACCGGCTGACTCCATCACCAAATTCAACACCCTACCGCAAGCTTCATTTACACCGTTCCCGGACCATATGGCTGTATCAGTAAAAGAATACCTATGCATCTCAAAAACCAGTTTTCCAGTGAAAGAAAGGCTAACTGGCTTGTTTTTGAGGAATCCTAAGTCTGTGTCGAAACTCAAGCCGGAGAGGATAACTAGGACTTTTGGATTGGCGGAGTGCACTGCTTCAGCACCATTCTGCATGTAATTGTACCAATCATTTGGGTTCTGTCTGGGGCCTCTGAGCTCGTTTCTAAGGCTCATACCGATTACGTTGGGGAAGTCTTTGAACCTGGTGGCCATCCGGGTTAGGCCCTCGATCCATAAATCAGGGTTGAAGAACTGGTCGCCGAAGAATCCATTGCCGTCGTCATTGTTACAGCACCATTCGGGCTTGGTTACGTGATTGTCTAGTATAACCATGATGTTGTTGTCCCCAAGGTTGGACACTACTGCCTGCAATTATTCGTTATATCCTTTTCACATGTTAGACTGATGTTTTTTAAATTGGTAAATTATGCAGATTGTAAAATAATTTTTTTTAAGGTTTCCACGATATTGTTTTTCTTAAAATTTTCCAATAAAATAAAGAAAAATATTACCTCGAAAGCTTTAATAAGGGTGAGATCAATGATGGAGGGGTTGTTGGCCTGAATACCGGAGAGGGCGTCCATCAAACCGAGTCTCTGAAATGATTGCCGGACGGTGGTAGATGCCAGGGAGTCATTGGTGGCGAGCAAAAGCGGCCAAGTGAAACGGACACAGTTGAATCCCATGGATCGAATCTTCATGCTGATCACGTCCACTGGTTGCTTGCTTAGCCCCTCCGCCACTACTGGTTCCAGATGGGATACCCAGTTGACACACGCCAGTTTCACTCGCTTCCCAGTCTGGCTGTCGACGATCCACCGAGCGTTGGTGGAGAGAGAGACACCGCTGACTAGTTTGGCATGGTGAGTGAGCAAGGGGAGGAGAAGGAGAAGGGGAAGGAGCATGGAGAATGAAGACGATGGAATGCACTTTCCCATGTTGGGGTAAATTTGCTAAGAAACAGAAGGAAGGTTTTGATCAAATCAGCTGTGTATCTGCGTTGTTGTATGTGTAATTTATACTGGGAACTTTCCTGTTCAACTGTTCCGTATATTATTCTTTAAGAGATAAGCAGTTAGCTTCCATTCTTATCGAAAAAAGGTTAAAGATCAGAATAGAGGATGTTTATTTTATCTTTTAAAAATTTAAAAAAAA